TTTATTTCTATGCAAGTCAACACAGGCTTCATGTAGCTTTAGCATCTACCATTTAGCTTTTAGCATCCATAGCCAACATGCTATTTAATTTTTTTTAGTGATAAGAATGAATCAAACAGCAGGGGAAAGTCAGGGAAGCACTTTTTTCTATTATGTAATTTTGCTGTAATTTAACAACAAAGTAAGACTAAAGTCATTCTCATTCACCCTTTAAGGCTTCAACGCAGCATAGTATTGTGAAATGCATTAGCCATTAGCAGGCCCACAAACAATCATCTGCTCAGTGCATAAATGTAAATGTAATCTGTGCACACAGAATCCTCGGAAAACACCGCAGATTTGGCAGAATTGGAATATTCGTCATTGAGAAACTTCTGCATGCTCGTTTATTAAATATTTTGACCAGTAATTAATATATGAATAACTATGTTTAAACCATTTTACCATGTTTAAATGCATTCTGCAGATTTTCTTCCAAGACACCACAGAAATGGAAAATAAATCTGCAGATAGCATAGCTGTTTTTTGGCCAACCCCTTATAGAGGTGTGATTAACTATTTTGTCTCTTACTTACATTTAATTAAACAGCACTGGGCCATCTGATGAATGCACACTTCTTTTTTCACAATTTCTAACATTTACCTTTCTTACTTTTCCAGCTATGCTTTACCTTGATCTTTATTTCTATGCAAGTCAACACAGGCTTCATGTAGCTTTAGCATCTACCATTTAGCTTTTAGCATCCATAGCCAACATGCTATTTAATTTTTTTAGTGATAAGAATGAATCAAACAGTAGGGGAAAGTCAGGGAAGCACTTTTTTCTATTATGTAATTTTACTGTAATTTAACAACAAAGTAAGACTAAAGTCATTCTCATTCACCCTTTAAGGCTTCAACGCAGCATAGTATTGTGAAATGCATTAGCCATTAGCAGGCCCACAAACAATCATCTGCTCAGTGCATAAATGTAAATGTAATCTGTGCACACAGAATCCTCAGAAAACACCGCAGATTTGGCAGAATTGGAATATTCGTCATTGAGAAACTTCTGCATGCTCGTTTATTAAATATTTTGACCAGTAATTAATATATGAATAACTATGTTTAAACCATTTTACCATGTTTAAATGCATTCTGCAGATTTTCTTCCAAGACACCACAGAAATGGAAAATAAATCTGCAGATAGCATAGCTGTTTTTTGGCCAACCCCTTATAGAGGTGTGATTAACTATTTTGTCTCTTACTTACATTTAATTTCATAATAAAATCTCTAGTATTCATTATCTGTTTCTGTTTTTCCCACTATTTTCTTTCTCTTTATTCCTTTTTCTCCTGTCCTTCCTGCCCAGATCGTTAGGCAAGTCTGCTGTCCCTGACATGATCAGAAGGAAAACTAAGTTTTCAAATCTAGCTTATATATATATATATATATATATATGTTGTATATCATTATGTATATATTGTAATTTGTACAAAAAAGGCAATATTGACAGTCAAGTTAGAATCAGTCCACTAGGAGGCGCTCCTACACCAACGTCCCAATGAAGAAGTAAAAGTCCCACTTTGAGGACACCACACTGATCCTATTTACCAGCTCAACCAATCACTGAGCGAAACATCATTGGACCAACCAATGAATGAAGGGTCAAAAGACTAGAGGTATATTAATCAAAAATGAAAATTAGAAACAGGGGCTTGGGCATGGAATCCATTCTTTATTTCCTTAATGAAACATTTTCTGTTCCTTTCTTTCTCCATCTTCCCATTCCTCTCTTCCATTCCTTCCTCAAACGTTTCTTCAGAGCACTCAGTAGCAGCAAAGACGGGCGGCTGTTTCCCTGGAGGGGCTTTGGTGACAATGGAGGATGGCACTCGTAGACCAATCAGAGACCTACGAACAGGAGATCTTGTTCTGGCCTCAATGGGAAGTGATGGGGCTGGTGAGCTTGTCTACAGCAAGGTCCTCACCTTCCTGGACCGTAGCCCCATTACGCCGAAGCACTTTTATGTGATCAGCACTGAGGATGGGGACAGCGCCTCCTTAACAGCAGGTCATTTACTGTTTATCTGGGTTGGAAACTGCTCCAGCGGGGGCCTGCCAGTGCTTGGATTCCTCCGGACGATATTTGCCAGTGATGCCCAGCCAGGGCAATGTTTGCTGATCGTCAATGAAGGCGAATTCAGGAAGCGTGTTTCACGGATCTCTCGAGTGGAGGTGCGGGAGGACTGGGGGGCTTATGCCCCACTTACTGCCCATGGGACTTTGGTGGTGAATGGTGTGATGACCTCATGCTACGCTGCGGTGAATGAACCACAGCTAGCTCACTGGGCATTTGCACCTCTACGCCTGTTGTACAGCTGGACCGGACCGGATAGGATCCTTAAGAACGGCTTACACTGGTACTCTCAGGTCCTACTCAGTGTGGGAACACTACTGCTAGACTCAGAACTCTTCCACCCTTGGGCCTTAGAAGATCATGAAAGATGATTGATTGAAAAGGAACTCAGAGATGAGTGAGGGGTGGGAAGACAGACAGATGGAAACGGCTGAACGCTCAGGGTTTATGACTTAAGGGGAAAGTGCTAAGTTAGGTGAAATATGTACCGAAAGCAGACTTTTTAAAATGACTAAAGTGTGTAATTTCTGTGCAACAAGTGACACCAAGCAGAATTGCAAAAATAATTTTTAATGCCCATTGACCCAAACTCGTGCATGGACCCTTTTTCAAATTTCTGGGGTTCTCAGAAGCAGAAAACATACACTTCTATAAAGTGCTGCGAGATGACCTATTTTTGCAGGCCAAAACACGGAAACGAGTTAGCATTTTAGCACTTCCAAGTCCATCTTCCAGAAGTCAATGTTTTTATTTTTTTTTAATGGTTTATTGGTTAAAAGCCTGAAATTAGGTCTGTAGTTAACACAAGTTCAAGATATTTCCACGTCTTATTTTAAGGCATTCAGTCTTTTTCTTGTCTTGAAAAAGGTGATTTCTAACAGGAGACTAAATGGGAGATATTAAACGTCATCACGCCAAACAGGAAAACTCATCTACTCACCAGCCCACTTTTACAGACATGTTGTGTTCATAATCTCTTGCAGACTTTTCTAACTCAAACTTTCAGGTCAAATGTTTCTTATATAAAGACTGATAGAGTTGGCGACCATGCTTGACCATGCAAGAGCCATGCGAACATGGTGTAGTTTGTTTAAAGCCTATGTTTATCTTTTTACATCTGGAAATGTAATTTAGTCTTCAAAATTCATAAAAGTTGTTAAATTGTAAAATGAACAAAACGTGAAAGAATCATAAACATTTGCTTATTTTCAATAATCCAAAAGTCAATGGAAAAATCCTATTGGCTTTTTGTTGAGGGAAGCAGGGTGATGCGAACCTCAGGGTTGACCTACAAAAATATGTCATTACTACAGCGCTCTATACAGTACATTTACAATGTTAATAACTGAGGAAAAGCATCATCACAGTCTGTGAAAAGGTCCATTGGTTGAATCAGTGTGGCTGTGTCGGATTCGTCAGACAAATGGAGCAATGTCAGTGTTTACACTTTTCAGGAGAATCATTATACTTATAGCTGTCTTTGCATAAGCTAGAATAATAATTTAAAAAAATATTTCACATTGAAAAACTTCCACGCATCACTTTTAACTGTAAAAAGAACATATTACAAACTGACCTCTTGTTTTTCTTCTTACAGAAATTGTGAGAGACCAAACATTGTCTGTGCCTTATGTTTGTTCGCTATTCCCGTAATCCCGTCTCTTTTGTCATTAGTCTTAAAACAGTCTGTTAAACTATTTAAAAAAAGTTTTTTACAAGTGCTTTGTAATATCATTAAGGTAATACAAGGTATCCAGGTAAAGTATTTAAAATCTATTTTTGAAATTAAACTTTACACAATTTATTTAGTCTCTCATTTGCTCTTTGCTGGCTATTACAATTTCTTTAATTCATTAATTTGTCATCTGTTGGATGTTTTGTCTGTGGCAATGGTTCTCAGCCTTTTTGATTCCAAATCCCCCATTTGACCAAGACATTATTGGAAGGCCCTCCTGTCGAAGCTGATTTTTACCTCTGGTACTTCTGTTGTAATAAAAAACTGGTTTAGAACCACTAGTCTGTATGTAATTGTTCCCTGCTGGTGAAAACGGACAGTACAGCGTGCAAGAGAAGTCAGATGGGTTTAATGTAACAGGAATCGCATGTGATATGACACCAGTGAATGGATAAACTCTCCTCTTACTAATGAGACCATGCAAACATGCCATTTAAACTAGTCTCCCCTTTTAAATTCTCAAGACACTAAAACATTAGGTTGAATAGGATGACATATCGCAAGCTTTATTGTTGTTATCTTATAGAAGTGTATCAACTTTTCATGATGAACCTCTTGTTGTGTTATTATTCCTCACTTAACTGGTTAAAAGCATCTGCTATATAAACACGCATACAGTAAATGCCAATCAACACGTCACCGGCGTGACCAGCTTTTGGAAATATTTTGCTTCAGATGCCACGGACCCCCCAAAAATAATCATTCTGTTGCATCCTAAAATTTAAAAGGCAACTGTATATTTTCATGTATAAAAACCAAACGTATTCTGTAAAAAAAGAATATTAAAAGAAAGTGTCAAATCTTATTTGGTAAATATTTAGTTTTAATAAATATATCTGGTTTAATATTTAGTCAATATTATGCTGCATTATTAGGTTTTGTACAGACTACTTCTGTACTGTTAGATGCATTTTTATTTATTTAAATCAATTTTAATTAATGAATGTTTTATTTATTTATTTTTACTTTTTCAAAGACCCCCTAGCACTTTCGTGCAACGACTAGGAGTTTAAAAACACGTGGTATAACTATCCAATAAGACTTTCCAGAATAAAAGATGCCATTATATCGTGATCGTGTTTACCTGTGCCTTTAAGAGAGTGTCTATAATAAGTAGTGGAAACATAATCCAGCGCTCTCTCTCTCTCTCTCTCTCTCTCTCTCGTTTTCCAGTCGCTTGTTACCAGAGGCGAAAAACGGAACCCCTTAGACCGTATATTGTTTGATAGTTTTAAGTTTAAACTTTTTGATAGCGTAGTTTGGAAAGGCTTTAGTCTAATAATAACTCTCCGTGTCCCCATGTAGGACTCTAAACTCGCGCACTGTCTCTTTAAGAGGGTTTACCCACAGACCTGTTGATCCGACAGTATTTCCCCCTACATTACTGTTCTTCTGTATCTCCTGCCAGTCGCTCTGCGCTTTACTTCATTCATAACGGTTTATTTATTTATTTATTCACTTTGGAAACTTCAAGTGGAAGCTCAAACATGGCAGAGGTAGGGAAAGGAGTCAACGCCGGGAAACTGGCCAGTAATGTACAGAAGAGGATAACCCGAGCACAAGAGAAGGTATGCGTGCTTATATCTACTATTTTTGTATATGTAATGTATGTATTTGTTGTTGTTATATAGTTTGCATATAGTCTGAATAGGTGTTCTAAGTGTCAAATCGTCTGACACTGTTTACTGTAGGAAGAAATTGTAAAAAATAACAGCTGAACCGCATTGAAACGCTTCATACAATACTCGCACATGTGTTTGTCATGCTCTTTTGCATTGGGAATTATGGTTTAATTTCTCATTCCAAGATCAGTTCCTGTTGAAGTTAAGTTTGAAACCGATGGAGTCATTTGAGATGAAGTGCATTAAACAGCAGCTGGTAGAGACCACGGCTCTTTTGACATTTGGGGGTTTCTTGGCATTGAATGAATCTTATATTATATTGTATTGGAGACTGGGGCTATTTGTCACACTTTGTACTCCACTGGATATTTCTTAGGTTATGTTTAATTTCGAAAGTCAGGCTTGAATGAATGAATGAATAAAATAACTATTGAACAATTGAACATTTCCACTGTCTTTGCTCAAGTTTAAAAAACACAACAGTTCAAACTAGTAATGTCAAACGATTAATCACAAAAAAAAATGTTTTGGTTATATATAAAATATTTATATATATATATATATATATAGATACACTGAACAAAATTATAAATGCAACACTTTTGTTTTTGCCCCCATTTTTCATGAGCTGAACTCAAAGATCTAAGACTTTTTCTATGTACACAAAAGGCTTATTTCTCTCAAATATTGTTCACAAATCTGTCTAAATCCGTGTTAGTGAGCACTTCTCCTTTGCCGAGATAATCCATCCACCTCACAGGTGTGGCATATCAAGATACTGATTAAACAGCATGATTATTGCACAGGTGTGCCTTAGGCTGGCCACAACAAAATGTGCTGTTTTACTGTATTGGGGGGTCTGAAAACCAGTCAGTATCTGGTGTGACCACCATTTGCCTCACGCAGCAAATATGTACATGTATGTTTGTGTATTTATATATTCATTATAAATATACACAGTACACACACATATTATGTTATCAAAAACATTTATTTTGGATGCGATTCATTGCGATGAATCGTTTGACAGCAGTAGTTCAAACTTAATTGATAATTTATGGGCATATTGGCATGTTGCCACATGGGATAAGTTGTCACATTGGGAAGCTGCAGTTATTGATTTGAAATTTTAAGTAAAACAATTCTTTAGAAAAAGCTTTCTCATCATACAGTGTGTGTGTGTGTGTTTTTTTTTTAATGTGTTGTGGGCTCCACAATGTAAACAGTAAAATTATTCTGAAACAATTCATAAAACAGCAAAAATTATACATAATTATAAAATTACACACGTGACAACTTGCCCCTCCCTGAACTATTATGAAAAAACCGTTGTGCCTATAATCTACCTTCATTATTGGCACTTGTCTGAATGTGTGTTTCAGTGGGTTTTTTTCCCACTTGTTTAAGGTGTTTGGATTCATAAAAAAACACTGCTAGAGAAATGCTGCTAGAGCATTTCTGCCGTTGGACCTTATAATTACTGAATCCTTATGACAACCTCCTCATGCCCCAACTAGTTTAGCTCTCTCCTGTAATGTTTTGTATCACAGAAAAGCCCAGAATGTCCTCTTTAAGATACACCAGGACTTAAAACAGTGGCATGTATGGATCAGAGATATTCACAAACAGCTTATGTCCGCTGCAGAATGAATCACTGGCTCTCAGGAACATTTGGAGCAGGTTGGAAATGGACAGTGATGTTGTGACAGAGTTTAAGTCTCAGTCAGAGTATGAGTGGTGCATCAACACAAACAGACCCACAGCTGAAAGCAGGAGGTTTTACACAGGAAGTGCTATTTCCACACTAAACACTCCAAATGACCGCTGGCCTCCCAGAGCACACAGCTGGACACCAGAACCTTGCACTGTGTAAAAGTGACATGCTTTTGATTTGAGTCATTTTAGGATGGAAGACCAGGGTTATAGGAACTGCTTGATAAATTCAGCCACTCTCTAGGTGTATTTTAGGGGTCTGAGACTTGGTTAGTTGCAGTGAGTTGCACTGGCACTAGGCTCAGTTTGGTCACTTGACAGAGGCTGCTTAAGAAACATCAGAAATTAATTCATTTTAGTCTTGTAGTCGTTTAGTCTTTTTGTTTTCAGTTGTTTCATACTAAATATTGTTTCATCATTTAATCTTTCATAAGGTGGACGTATAAGAGGCTTAGATGACTTTGATAGGAGATTTCTAGAAAAGATAGTTCTAGCATTTCCTGCCCCTATAGACCAATCAGGCTTGTTACTTTGTAATCATATAGATGTTTACAGAGAATTAAGAGGTTATTTAGGATCATTGTCTGCTTCTGTGTTTGTGTTCCTCTTACTAGGGTCTCTTCTGTCCTGCATGCTAGACTCATAGTGCTGATCTTCAGTGTCTTTGTGTATAGAATTCGGAGGTCTCTCTCATCATTCTCAACATCATCAAGTGTTGCAGTATCTTTAACAGTGGAAAAAAAGTATGAAATTATTCCTTATTGTCATGGAGAACCAAAAAATTGGTGTTCCTCCAACAGACACTGGTGTTTAATTAGCAAAGAACCTACTTGAAACTAAATAAAATGAACTCTGTGCAGATAGGTATAGGCTTATTTGTAGCTGTAATACACTTCCATTCAAGTGTTTGGGGTCAGTAGCATTTTTTAATGTTGTTGACAGAAACAAAAATACTTTCAGAAATTGATCAAAAATACAGTAAATCTAAAATATTGTGAAATATTATTACAATTTAATTGTTTTCTATGTGAATATATTTTAAAATGTAATTTATTCCTGTGATGCAAAGCTGAATTTTCAGCATCATTACTCCAGTCTTCAGTGTCACATGATCTTTCAGAAATAATTCAAATATGCTGATTTAATGCTAAAAAAAAACATTTTTTATTATTATAAATGTTGTAATATTTTAAACGTCTTTACCGTAAATTTTCAGCAGTTTTGCTTTTTTTTCTTAAATGGTAATGCAAATCTGAGTGATCTGACTTAAAGGAATGGTTAACCCCAAAATTATTTTGTCATAATTTACTCTTCCCGTCATTCCCAATTCTGAAATCTGGAGACAGCTGTCTTATAAATGTTGTTTCTTTTGCTCAAATAGCGTCAAAAAACTTTTATTTTTCAGGCAATTCAAATATGCTGATTTAATGCTAAAAAAAACATTTTTTATTATTATAAATGTTGTAATATTTTAAACGTCTTTACCGTAAATTTTCAGCAGTTTTGCTTTTTTTTCTTAAACGGTAATGCAAATCTGAGTGATCTGACTTAAAGGAATGGTTAACCCCAAAATTATTTTGTCATAATTTACTCTTCCCGTCATTCCCAATTCTGAAATCTGGAGACAGCTGTCTTATAAATGTTGTTTCTTTTGCTCAAATAGCGTCAAAAAACTTTTATTTTTCAGGCTAGACCAGCCAATGTGCATGTGCAGTCCTAAGCACTCAGATGACTTTACCGATTAGCGATTGGCTCTTTTATTTAGAAGGCGGGACTATTCCATCATATAGCGCGTTGCACTTTCTCCCATTCATAGTAATAGTCTTTGTATATCTAAAGTCTTTGCTACTGTTTCTTAAGTTGCTTTAGTCATATTGGGAGCTTGTATGGAAAAGAGCAGCATGAACAAAATACTGATTCTGTCCAATGTCTCCATCTCCTTCTGAATTTTTATTTTTCCATGAACGATCCCTTTAATACATTTCTGGAATGAGTGATTTTGTCTGTAGACTTTACAATGGGCCTAAATATTATTTGTCAGCACTTGATTTAGTTGCATTTAGTGTACTTCATGGTGGCTCAAGTCCTCAGCTGTCGCTACCTCTTTAGGAGTGTAAAAAGCTGGACTCATTTCAAAAGTATCTGTATGTGTGTATTCTTCTGTGTGTGTGTGTGTGTGTGCACTCCTTCTAAATGATACGCTGGCCATCAGCATGATTGCCTTGAAGTAAGGTCGCAGTCTCCTCTTCCCCCCTGAAACTCAGCCAGGTAGAGGAGCGTTAACATTGATCCTTTAGTGGCATATGGCACACATCTCTGCATTCTTTTCTCACTCCTCACTTCTCCCTCATCCACCTGTCTGTCATTAGATGATGTTTGTCACTAATTTGGAACATCAGGCTTTTTTCTGTAGAAACATTCCAGAAGTGTGCAGTCGCTATGAAGTGATAACGACCCTGGAGGACAAGAGATGGGTGGAAAGTTACAACAACCTCCTTTTCTCAGATTTGAAACCCAAATGAAGTGTCCTCAGCCTTCTCCTGACCTCTGCTCTGATTGGACAGGCGATCTGTCACTTAAAAGCTCCGGCAGAGGTTCAAGCATGAGCCACACCCCTCTTCCGCACTCCACCCACACACCTGTCCGTCCTCATAGAGCTACAGAGCAGTGTGTGGATTGGGCTATGAATAGTAGACAGGCTGTAGCTGTGAGCTAATCCCCAGAAACCTCTTGTGCGACAAACCGTGGTGTGTGTGAATGCCAACGGCTGTGGTCTGGGGTATTTTTGGAGCTGTAACTGAACACCAGCACATGTCAACCAGAAGTAAAGACCAGGGGCCTTTATAAAACACAGATGAAGTGACATTTGGCTTATACTTGGGAGAATTCGGTCATAATTTTGCACACACACACACACACACATACAGGCTACTGCTTAATCTCTCTCATTGTAAGCTCCTTTAACCTGTTAGTTAAACCGCAGACACACTAATTAAGCCCATCCGCTTGCCACTCCCATGAGACAGCAGAAGTGTGGGTGTGTGTTTACTTTAGACAGATTTGTCCCAAATATAGCTCAGTCTGACAAAACATTTGGGTACATGTGGGGAACGTCCTTTTTTGAAAAGGCCTTCTTTTACAGTATAGAAATCAATAGAAGTCTATGCTGTTGTAGAGGAAAGAGAGAATGAATTTGCGTTTGTACATCGTCAGATCATGTCGGAGTATTAATATGGATAACTGCATCAATTAGTATAAACTTGCCTCTCAGTTGCTCGAATGTTTCACTCACACACACACTGAGGAATCTCTCAGCTGCCGGACAAATGATCAGCGCTGGTCTGATCAGAGCTGTATAAATTGAACATGCTGATTCAGAAATAGTTCTCCCATAAGTGAAAAGTTTGTCATCATTTACTCATGTCATTCAAAACCCGTATGACTTTTTGTCTGTGAAACACAGGAGACAACTTGAAAAATGTTCCTGCTGCTCATATACAATTCCAGGGATGTCCAGGGACTCCAAAAAGTAATCATACGACTTGTGCGCTATATTAGTCTTCTAAAGCCATATGAACAGACTGTAATTTAAGCAATTTTTAGGAAATAAACACATTACGCAAGGCAGGATTTAAATGAGGAAACATACAGGATGATAACATTAACAGTACTTCAATACTGAGTTTCGATAGTAAATCAGAAGAGTAAAGCAGCTAGAGCAGAAGTGTAACTGCAGAAAAGTTGAGGGATTTTTTTTTATGGTTATAAATGTAAGTGCTCTCGGAATAGAACTTCCAGTAGAGTGTATCACTGTGGTGCTTTTAAAGCAGTTTGTTCTTGTGATTGGATGGTCATTCATGAACTGTTAGTTTATTGTGTGTATATTAAATGACAAATGAATGAAAGACTTGGGTCTCTGGAGGTGAACTAATCAATTATGTTTCTCATAACTTACCTTTGGCTACATTAATGATTTCTTAATTTGAAATAGGCTATGTGTAGAAAATCTTAGGCTGAGTTGGTTATTGCAACCAGAACGGTGAGTCCATTAAAACTCATTCAGTCATCAAACTCCTTTTTCCAGTTTATTTCAACATGCAGGAGTAGACATTTCTCATGGAAGGCAAGTGATGGTAACTGTTGGTTTCTGGCAAGCAATAAGCAAATAGAAACAATTAGTAGATGGGTCAAAGATGAGACGTTACCATTTTGGTGTCCGCATCAAATTAAGTTTACAAAAATAATTGTATATACATAGAAAGACATGTTAAATGCAAGTAAAGAGTGTACTTTAAGTTTCATATTTCAAATAACTTTGGTGAAAATAAAATATGGGGGAAATAATGTTCCAAAGTGAAAAATTGTCATTCAATGTCATGATCCGGACTTTGATTTTACCATTACATCTTTAAATAAACATATAAAGTACCAAGTTAAGAAATACATTTGTTGTCTTGGCATTTTCAAAAAAGTGTTGGCTGTGTTATATTAAAAAAGACTGTCTTATTGTTTTTTTAAAGTGATGAAATAACCAGGGAACTTTTGTCCCGAAAATGCAGTTTGTTAGAGGTCATTCAGTGTAACAGGAACAAGAAGACATTCGGAAATCATATAAAAAAACTGATAGTCATTCAGCAGTTTGTTAGTTTATTGCTCTTAAATATTTGTTAATTCCACCTGTTCATGGTGTGGTATCCGAAGTTACAAAAACACATGTCATTCGGTGAAATGCCAAAAAAACACTTTTATTGTTAGATTAAAAAAAAATTATGAGGAGATGTTGTAAATAATTGTGATTAACTTTACTGGCCAAGCTCACTGTTCGATACAGGTGGCCAGTTGATTGCCTGCAATATAAGCTGAAGTAGAAGTTTCATCACTGTTGAAACGCATAATGTTTTTGTCATGTGATGTACAGCAATGCAAATTCTCAGTTACACTACAGTGTCATCCGTTACACTGAATGAAAGCATCACTGTAGAAATAACACTTTTAGCATCTTATTTACATTAAGGATAAATGAGGAATGTTCAACACTGACAAATATGTGTTAAACATTTTTGTTAAACTTACAAAAATGCATTTTTGTATTGATTCATTTGTGTTATTGATTCATTTTAGATGCCCACGAACAGAGAGAGCTGCTAGGCACTGTAAAAAGCCACAAACCTAATAAAGTAAATGCAGACCCAGAAGCTTGGGTGGCATTCTTAAAGCCCGTTCACACAAAGAACAATAACTATAACAGTAACTATGCTAGCCTCCACACCAATGAACGATAGCACTGTTCGGTCAAATAACTGATATACAAGCCAGCCTGATTAATTGAATAATCTTTTTTTTTATTAATTGACCATTAACCATGTCTGCTTGACTGATAAACAAAAGTATTAACTCAGTCAAATGAGTGGATATTGCTCTATTTCAGATCATTTAAAGTGAAATTTGAGTAAGTAGTGAGTGAAATAAATGTTCTTCTATCTTATAAATTCTGTATTATTTTATCATATCATTCATCAACCACCTCCTCTCTCTAGATATCTCGTCGGCCATTGAAAAATCCATGTTGTTCGACCACTAGCTCAGTGCCTGACAGTGGGTATACAGACATATCCAGTGTTCCTGGAAGACCTCTGAGTCAGAGAGAATGCCTTAAGTCCCAGATCTGCTCTACTGCTCAGGGAGCACAGGTCATCATGACAAAGATCCAGGCCTCTGTATTTTAAGATGTCGGGGGGCTCGAGGGAGGGGTCCTGCTACAATGCATTCGGGATCAGCTTTCAAACACTCCCTGCACAGTAATACACATTCATACATTCTTCAAGAAGAGCACAGCTGACACGGCCTTTATTAATATAGGCCAAGAGAAAGCCAGCGGGAGATTAAAGGGTTACTGTGATTTCTCCTCGAGCTTTATTGAAACCCTTTGCTCTACTAGACCAAGAACTTACTGTATTTTTCTATATAGTTATATCTGAAAACTGTTACAAAAATGAACAGAATGCACAGTTTCCTGTTAGTGTAGCCTTTTTTGCTTTAGGTACTTTTTATTTGTAGAGAAGTGAGCATTCTGTCTTCCATTGGTCAGACAAACAGTCCCATCCCAAACTGTTTAGGGAAATTAACCTTTAGATGGCTTACTTGTCTTTGCATATTCAAATTTTTTGAAAGTATTTTAACATGGACACAATGTGAGACCATTCAAGGATGCACCATATAAACTTCATCCTTTCATCTTGAATCCTTTTGACATTATGAAAGGGACTTCACAGGATGTGCTATTCTGTTGCCTGTGTCAAGCTGAAGGAAACCAATATCTCTGTGTCACAAATGGCATGGCATGATTAATATGCTGCGAGAAGTGATATGGGGGAGCAGAAGGAAAAGGAAATGACCTCTGAATAAATAGAACCATGCACTACCTCATACATGTTGGTCAGGAAGTAGGGCAATCTGAACTAAAGGAAATGTGCATAATTAAATCGGCTAGGAAATGGTTGTATAATGGAAACACCCTATGGAATAAAAGGACATTGTGCTTTGAACTTTTGGCAGGTGTTGTATGTGTGTGTGGCAAGAAAGTTCAGTTAATGACAACTCGTCATAAGCCTCTTTGAATAAGTTTCATTTTTTATGAACAGTTACTGTATGTCAGCGTTCTTCATGGGGAAGAAGAACATGGAACCGATACTGAAAGCACCATTTGTGTTGACTGGGGATCTAAGATCCTATTTCTTGCCACCTTTTTAAGACACACATACACATCTACACTCTTAAGATTGCGTTTTTCATTTGTTTAAAATGAAAAAGGCATTAAAAAATTGTTAATCAGATGAATTAATCAAAAAGTCCATGTAATGCGAAATGTCTGACAGCTGCTGAAGAATTTTATTAGAGCAATAATGTCATGCTGATGATTTTATCACAATTATAGGATGTGGTTAAACCTGACAGCAATGTATAATAATAATAATAAATAATTTGATTTATTATCACTACTGTTAATCACAATAAACAAGTTGATTAGCTTGACAGAAATTCAGATAACTATGGTACGGATAACTTTCTTTGCTTGTTACTTTGTCACGTCGCATCTGTTTAGGACATGTTAACTGTAGGCTGTTTATGGTTTTCACGCAACCAGGTACAGTGTGATACGTTCAATGTTATTAAAGTTGATGATGAGGGGCATGATGCAACTAAGCCAGTCTTTTCACAAAATATATTATCACACAAGTTCTTTGTTTGTTTGTTTCTTTACATTAATTCAATTTTTTTTGCGCTTTCGTTTACAAAGAAAAATCACTTGTTACATTTGACATTTTTAGGTTATGATATTTTCAAATTCTTGCCTTGGTCCCCACAAACACAAAGGCTGGCTTACACACCAGTAATGCAGATGTTTTGTACCGGTATGTGTTTGTATGTTGGAGTATGTATGATGTCGGCTGCTTTGCGTTGCTCTCTGATAGGTGTTGCAGAAGTTGGGAAAGGCGGATGAAACGAAAGACACAGCATTTGAGGAGGAAGTGGCCAAATTCAACAAGCAGCTGGTAAGAGCCTTAAGCCTTCACCCTCTCTGATCCCCCCCCCCCTCCGTAATATACTGCTTGCCTTGACATTTGACCTCTGACCCTTTTCGTAGTTCTTAAATATCTAGTGATGGCTTCTTCTCTCTCTGATCTCTATATCACAGGCTGACGGCAGCAAATTGCAGAAAGACTTCAAGGCATATTTGGCGGCAGTCAAAAGTAAGACTCTAATGGACCGTTCACACCAAAAACGAAAACTATAAAGATAACTAGGCTATATTAGCGTTCACACCAACGGGCGATATCGTCTGTTTATTCTAAGCGCACACTCGTCTGCCGCTTTAAATTCTCAAGCTCGTTATAGCCGGATTGATACTGATTGTGTGTCAATATTTTTGTTGTTCATCAGCTGGGAAAAAAGTGATTCCAACGATATCGTTTCTCTATGCCTTTATCGTTATAGCTGTGGTGTGGGCTTTTATTTAATATTGAGGATGATTTTTAGAATTGTATCTTCATCGTTATCTGTATAGTTATCATCCTTGGTGTGAACAGGCCTTATGTGTGTCTGTGTACTGTACAAAGAGAGTTTTAAAGAGATAGTTCACCAAAAATGAACATTCAGTCATCATTTACTCACACTCATGTTGTTCCAAACCTATATGACTTTCTTTCTACTGTGGAAACCAAAAGAATATATTTTGGTAACCATTGACTTTCACTGTGTGAACAAAAACACTGTGACATTATTCAAAATATATATTTTTTTATGTTCCATAGAAGAAAGAAAGTCATAATTTTTCTTACACGACTTGAAAGTGAGTAAATGATGACAGTATTTTCTTTTTTTTTTGGTGGGGGTGGGGTGAGCTATGCTTTTAACGCCTTTGTAGTGGCATACGACATCGTTTAAAGCAAGCTGAAAGCTAATCTAGTACATTTTAAAGAAAATGCAAACACAATCATGTCCAAAAACAGTTAAAAAAACATCTGTTCATTATGGTCATAAGGCAAAAGTAGAACCAAATGTGCAATCACTCTATCATGCTCGTTTGTATTTAAATGCAGCCTTCTCTCGGATAGAATACAGGAAAGATTGTCACTGAACATACTCAGTCCTGCATCTATAGCTCTACCTGCCTCCATGTGTAACAGCGATAAGGGAGTCACAAATTCTTTATAGGTTGTAAACATGTGGAAAGTGTTTTCAGGTCTGGCCATATTGGTTTCCTCTTAAAGGGATAGTTCACCAAAAAATTAAACACTGTCATTATTTACTCACCCTCATTCTGTCATCATTTACTCACCCCATGTTTTTTTCTTCCTTGGAACATAAAAGTTTGACAAAATGTTGGTGCAGTTTTTTTTTTACATTAAAAGTGAATGGGGACTAGATCTGTCAAGCTCCAAAAATGACAAAAAGCACCATAAAAGCAGTCCGTACACTATATTACAAATGTTTGAGATGTCATTTTCATTTATTGATGAACTACCACCTTCGGTGAGTAGTACATTAAAGAAATGCAAAGCAAGCAGACTGCCTTCTTCCTTTTACAGCAGTCTCTAAAAAATGTGCTGCCCTAATGCAGAGCACCTTCCCCCTCAGCTTCCTGCCCTGTGGCCACAGCAGTTCTTACTTCTCTGAAAGACACAAAGAGAAATAGTATGCATGCGTGTTGGGTTGAGTGATGGAGCATTTGCCGTCATCTGTGTCAATGCCTACTGTGTCTCCTGGCTGACCCGTTTTTTGTTTCCGCAGCCATGCACGAGTGTTCGAAGCGTCTGCATGACTGTCTGGCAGAAATGTATGACCCCGAGTGGTTTGGCAAAGAGGAGGTGGACTCCATCGCAGAGGTGTGTAAGGATGTCACTGGCAGAGCAAAACACTCTGTCTGGATTGTGTGACATTAGTGATTTCAATGTGAAAAATCTCATAGGAAAGTAAAATCTCTTTAATATGTCAGTTGTTTCTCCTTAAGTCTCTTGATTCTCACATGTGCCTCCTGAAAAAAGGGCCGCAGTAATCTCAAATGTGTCTCTTGTAGAGTTTCAGAAGAGATCTCAGTAATGTCACAAACCAGATACCAAACAAGAGGAAAATGTTAATGATCAGAGGAGACTAGATTCAATTTAATCAAGCCTCATACTTTTCTCAGATGTGCTAAGATACCAAAATCTGACATTATATTTGAATATACACTACCATTCAAAAGTTTGGGGCCAGTAATTTTTTATTTTTAAAGAAATTAATACTTTCATTCAGCAAGGACACATTAAATAGATCAAAAGTGACAGTAAAGAAATTTGCAATGTTCATGAAAATAGTTATCACCGTTTCCACAAATGTATCAGGCAGCACAACTGTTTTCAACATTGCTAATAATAAAATAACGTTTATTGAGCACCAAATCAGCATATTAGAATGATTTCTGAAGGATCATGTTGCACTGAAGACTGGAGTAATGATGCTGAAAATTCAGCTTTGCATCACAATAATAAATGACATTTCAAAATGTATTAAAATATAAAACAGTTATTTTAAATTATAATAATATTACACAATATTACTGTTTTTACTGTATTTTTGGTCAGATAAATCGGCCTTGGTGAACATAAGAGATTTCAAAAACATTTGTAAAAATCTTTCCCACCCCTAACAGAAGTGTATATTTTAATTCTGAATCCCAAAAATGAAAATTTGCTAAGTATGTACTCACCCTCAGGCCATCTAAGACATATATCTCATATAAAAAATCTCTTTCTTCAGAATGAGAGTCCAAACAGCTGATAAAAACAACACAAAAGTGTGGATTATTGTGATGTTTTTATCAGTTGATTTGACTCTCATTCTGACGGCACCCATTCACTGCAGAGGATCCATTGGAAAGCATGTGATGGAATGCTAAATTACATCTTGGATGGCCTGAGGGCGAGTCAATTTTCAGCAAATTTTCATTTTCGGGCGAACTATTACTTTAAAGGGACAGATCACGCAAAAATGAAAATTCTGTCAATTACTCACTCTCATGTCGTTCCAAACCCGTAAGACCTTCGTTCATATTCGGAACACAAATGAAGATATTTTTGATGAAATCCGAGAGCTTTCTGACCCTGCATAGACAGCAATGCAGCTACCAGGTTCAAGGCCCAGAAAGGTAGTAAGGACATCGTTAAAATAGTCCATGAGACATCAGTGGTTCAACCTTAATTTTATGAAGTTACGAGAATACTTTTTGTGCACAAAGAAAACCACAATAACAAATGTATTCAACAATTTCACTAAAAGTATTCTCGTAGCGTCATAAAATTAAGGTTTTCATCACAAATATCTTAATTTGTGTTCCGAAGATGAACGAAGGTCTTACGGGTTTGGAACGACATGAGGGTGAGTAATTAATGACAGAATTTTCATTTTTGGGTGAACTATCCCTTTAAGACTGTATGCAAGTGAAAAATAGCTGCTGTCCACACTGATGCTTTGATCTCTGTTTTCTCATTATTCTGCAAATTTATTTTGTTTTCTACATTTCTTTGATTCCACTCACCCATCCCTCTGTGAGTAAAGGAGATGATAGAGAAAGAAATGGATAATAATCTGGAGGTAAACATGACCGATAACATCTCCAGACCACAGGTCTAGTCTAGAGCTGGTGCTGGTGATGCTAGAGTATGCTACTGCAGTGAAGTCTATTTTAGAATAGTTCTGTTCACATATATTTAGACTTTTGACATCATGTGTTTTGTCAGAGTGTGTGAGAGAGACAGCGTAAGAATATGCGTCTTGCTGTGCATGTCTGATCACATTTGTTTTACAGGACACTGACCTCCTGTGGCAAGATTTCCACCAGAATCTTGTGGACAATGCTCTCATTTCCATGGACACATATTTGGCTCAATTTCCAGACATAAAGGTTTGTTTTTGCTTTAATAAGTGGTACATGTAAGCATTTCAACATTTACAGGAGCTAGTTAGTTATTTTATTGCTGTTTGAATCCAGAATATCTGTGTTTTTCCACCCGTGTAAAATTCCCAGCTAAATTATCTACTGTTTTGGACAAACACCAAGGTTGTGTGGTAATTTAATTGCCGTGTGAATCCACATCTCTGAGTTTACAAGAAGGGATCAATCGAAAAGTGGTTTTGTAAGTGTCTTTTGACCACTGCCAAGCACCGTATAATAATGCTTTGTGGTAATGTGCACGCATTTGAAATATGGACACTTTTATTACTGAAATGCTGGAAAATGTTTACAAGAATAATATTCCGTCACAGTTCCACTACAGTGAGTAGGAGCTGTTAAGAAGAAAAAAAACGATTTTTTCTTTGGAAATGGGTCATTATTATGGTTTGCAATACATTTGTAAAATATTTATTATAAGCTATAAAGTTATACACTGTAAAAAAACTATTTCAACTTAAAAACTTAAGTGTAATCAGTTTAGTTGTACAAGTCATTTCAACTTACGTTAAACTGACTTAAAAAAAATCAAGCTAAATTTCATATCATTCATAACTTTTTTTTAACTTAAATTTCATAACTTATAAAAAAAAGCTAAAATTGCTTTACTTATTTTGATGGGTTAAAGTAACGTAAAACCATAAGTTGTCATGATTCATAATTTTTTACAGGGTATAAATTAGGGCTTGCACAATTAATTATTTTACTAACCGAGCAATAGCCTCATCTCGTCAAATGTTTACCTTATGTGAGCTAATTTCCATATTTTTAAAATAACATCAATTTGAAAGATAAAATGCTAGACAGAAATCCATTAAATCTATAGTGCTTTAATTATCCTATTTTTTAAAGAGTAATATAAAATATTTAAAAAATATTTAAATAATAAATAGAGATATTATTTTCCTGGCATTAAATTAAATATGAGAAATCCAAGCAATAACAGACATTAGGTGTGTTCGGTTTCATGCAGTGCTGTGCAAACCAATCGGTGGCTGACTTGTAGCAGTGCATGCCGGTTAGAAATGTTGCCTGACTCGAGACAGCGCAGACACCACATCACTGTGACATATGGCATCAGAGTCATAGATATGATCAGAATACTGTGAGAGCGATTCAAGAGCAGTCGGCTGACTCTCCAGAGCAGCTGCAGGAGCTGGTGTAAATCGCCATACCAATGCATGACTTTAATCACTGATGTGCTATGAAAATGTATTATTACTGACGCCCCCCATGAGAAACAATTAGTGCCCAAATAGGGCTTTACATAGAAGAAGGGTTCCGGCCACATCTAGACACCAGAATATAATCAAGACGTGCAGGTGTATCACATGGCAAGAACCCCCTAGCAATGCTCACAACCTTATAACAACACCCTGGCAACCATTTATGGCCATTGTCTATTTACACTAGTTAGTTACTGCTGTGTTAGATGGACTTGTGACTCTGACTCCCTCTGCAGGCTCGCATCGCTAAGCGCGAGAGGAAGCTGGTAGATTTTGACAGTGCCAGACATCATTTTACCTCTATACAGAAAAGCAAGAAAAAGGATGAGGCCAAAATTGCCAAGGTACCGGATGCTCGTTCCAGCTTGTTAATGTATGCTGACACTGTACTGTCTGGCTTTTTGTCCTTAAACCTTGTTAACTAACCAATTTATTGCTATAACAATGAGTAATTCATGTATTGCAGTCAGTTTATATGCTTGAGTGAGTGTATGTGTGTGTTTGCACAAGCTTTTATCTTGCCTGATGAGATTTTGTGAGCTAACAACAGCACTTGAGTGTGTTTGTTGCTGTTCTCTCTTCTCTGGGTGTGTCACTCTCTCTTTGCTGCATGTCTAGCCTCTGGCTCTAGTGGAGATGGCTGCTCCCGGCTGGGCTCAGGGAATAATCACAGCACATCAGATCGCTCAAACTAACCTCTCGAGAAGCCAGGTGACTCAACTGTCACTCAGTCTGTAAACCCTCCCTTAATCTGCATAACCCCACCCATCTACTCACAGTCCACACCTACTCACAGCGTGGCTTCTTATGTAGTATCTGTGTTCCTCAGGTGTATTTACTTCACGTTTTTATGTCTGACATTTAAACAAAAATAATTTCTAAGTTTGGGGTCAGTAAGATTTTTTTATGTTTTTGAAATAAGTCTTTTATGCTCACCAAGGCTGCATTTATTCAAAATTGAGTAATATTGTAAACTATTATTACCATTTTAATTAACTATTGTGATGCAAAGCTGAATCATCATTACTCCAGTCTTCAGTGTCACACGATCCTTCAGAAATCATTCTAATATGATGATTTGCTGCTCAAGAAACATTTCTTATTATCGTTTATGTTGAAAACTGTTTTTCTGCTTAATATTTTTGCGGAAACTGTGATTTTCACGATTCTTTTTAAAGTTTAAAACAATAGCATTTATTTTGCAGTCTTTACTTTCACTTTTGATCGATTTAATGAAATGAATGTTGAAAACTGTTTTTCTGCTTAATATTTTTGCGGAAACTGTGATTTTTTTAAAGTTTAAAACAATAGCATTTATTTTGCAGTCTTTACTTTCACTTTTGATCGATTTAATGAAATGACATGTGGGTGAGTAAATGTTTTATGTTTTAAATGCTTTCCGCAGATTCCAGTAAAAGGGAATCAGATCACAGGGTCCATTTGTCCACAGTCTATTCGTGCAGAGCTGAATGCGTAATTCTTTGTATATGCATTTTCATAAATGATAGTGTCTTTAGCCTAATGACCGTGTGTGTTTGTGTGTGTGATAAGGCCGAGGAAGATTTGGGCAGAGCTCAGAAGGTATTTGAGGAGATCAATTACGATCTCCAGGAGGAACTTCCCACCCTGTGGAACAGGTAATAACCGCATATTCATCCTGCCATGATCTCTCTGTTTATCTCTATTATTCCTTCCCCTTTCTGTCATCTTAAAGCAGTGGTTCCCAATCCTGGTCCTGGAGAACCCCCAACACTGCACATTTTAGATGTCTCCCTATTCAAACACACCTGATTCAACTCATCAGCTCATTAGCGAAGACTCCAAGACAGGGCTGTCTAAACTCGGTCCTGGAGGGCCAGTGTCCTGCAGAGTTTAGCTCCAACTTGCCTCAACACACCTGCCTTTAAGTTTCTAGTATGCCTAGTAAGAGCTTGATTAGCAGGTTCAGGTGTGTTTAATTGGGGTTGGAGCTAAACTCTTCAGGACACCGGCCCTCCAGGACCGAGTTTAGACAGCCCTGTCTTGGAGTCTTCGCTAATGAGCTGATGAGTTGAATCAGGTGTGTTTGAATAGGGAGACATCTAAAATGTGCAGTGTTGGGGGTTCTCCAGGACCAGGATTGGGAACCACTCTCTTAAAGGAATAGTCCACCTAAAAATGAAATGCCATCACATTGTTCTAAACTTATTTTATTTAATTTTTTTTCCATGGAACACAAAATTATTATTTTGTAGGATCTTCACACAGCTCTTTTCCATATAATAATAGTTCAAACAAAGTGATCACATCTGACAAGCTCCAAAAAGGACAAAAATGCAACATAAAAGCCATATAATAGCTACGACAGAGAGGACACATTTTTCTTAATTTTTTTTATTTTACATTGACATTAGAAAAGTCTTTACTGTCACTTTTTTATTTAATGCATCCTTGCTAAATGAAAAATCATGTTGACCCTAAACTGTTGACTTGTATGGCTTAAGACTTGCAATATAGCATGAGTCCTATTTTTATGATATTTTATGTTGTTATTAGTCCTTTTGTGAGCTTGAGAGATCACAATGAACTGTCTTTATATGAAAAGCTGTGCAAATATTCTTCTTTTGTGTTCTAAAAAAACATGAATAACATTTGAATAACATGATAACAAGTAAATAAGAAATAAGAGAATATACATTTTTGGTGTATTTTGGTGAGAATAAAAAAGAACTTTAAAAGAACTGATGTTGACTTGTCTCTGTCTCTCTCTCTGCAGTCGTGTTGGCTTGTATGTGAACACATTTCAGAGCGTTGCTGGCCTTGAGGAAAAATTTCACAGGGACATGGGCAAAGTGAGCCAATAATAAGAGACTTGTTAACAAGAGATAAATAAGATTATTGTTGTTAGTTACCAGGGTATGTTGCACTCTCTCACTCACAGCTGAACCTGAATCTGAGTGATATTATGACCAAACTGGATGAGCAGCGTCTAGCCAAGTGAGTGCTTTTATCCTGGGATATTTCCTGTCTGTATAGACACTTCTGGTCTCCTGTAGTTTAGCTCACAGATGTGTGAGTTCTTGTTTTCCCTGTAAATTAAACCAACCCTCCCCCAAATAACCCACAGAAAAGGTGTCACGACAGCAAGCACTGGGAAGAGGTAACAGCTCCCATGTTTTATGTGTGTTCATGCAACATTTATTGCATTAAAGATGCACTTCAACAAGGTTATTTAAACCACGCTCTCCCTTCTCATATAATATCTCGTTTTGGTGTAAATCTCATTAATGACTTAAGAAATTCAGCTGAGATTTGCACTTTTTTGTTGTGTTATTTTACACATGAAGGAAAAACATTTGTTTTGTCTCTCAGGCCTTCTTCTGAAGAGACAACTGAATTTTTGGTGCAATTCACAGCTGAATTATTAAAGATGCACTAATACTTGATTGCTGTGGAAAATTACCGCTTGCATGGAACCGCGTGTACATGCTGACACGAAAAATATAACTGCATGTCTGGAATGTCTTTGAAATGCAGTAATTGTGCATGGTAGTGATTTAAACCATTCTGCCTGCAGTGTTAACTCTGATCTCTGCTGCCACCTAGTGATCAATTCAAGTCAGGACACTCATGACTGTGCAATGCCAAGTAAAAAGTATTTATTTACCAATGTGCGTTTTTCATGCAGTGAAGAAGCAGCCAACCACAACCTCTCAGAGTCTGGGTCAGATGCCCCTAAATCACCAGCAAAGGTATTGTGAGAAAGCTGATGTTTTTATGTGCTCTATATTATGTTTATATATTTGTGTTTTGTTTGTTTGTCTTACAGTATGTATAAAACTAAAGAAGCAAAACAAAATAAAAATAAAATAAACCAAATACTTTTTTTAATGCATTTATACAGCATACATTGCAGTGGGGTTTTTGTACTGTGCATCCTCATAAATAAGTGATGGCTCACCTCATAGGAGAAAATGTAGAATTATTTTTTTACTCGTAAAAAATGTGAAGAGTTTAGACCAGTATTTATAATTAACCTTACAGCAGTGTTCTTCTAGTATTATTTATTTATTATTATATAGCATTATATATTTTTTCATTTCCGCTGTTCTTTTAATTTTAGTTTAAGTTTGAGCAATTTTGATATGTGCTTTTGTCATTTTTATTCTTTTTAATAGTACCACGGCTTAAGCTGAGTTAATATCAGTTGCCAAGACATGTATAAAAGTTTTCATCTAATATTTATATTTTATTTAATTTCAGCTTTATTTCTAATAATGAAAATTATTTGTAGTAGTTTTAGTTTAACAATAACAACACTGCCTTACAATAGAGTTTGTAGATAAGTAGGTAAACATGAGTGTGTGTGTAAGCAAACTTAAAGCATGTTATCAAAAATCTAATCAGGAGCAGTTATGAGTTGGCGTTTTATTAACCCTGAGTGTGCTGTGTGTCCTTGTGTGTGTGTCTGCATGTGTGTGTTGGTGTGGCAGTCCAGAGAAAGACCACCGGTCTCACAGCCGCCCAGGCCGACTTCATCTCAGGAGGTGAAACAGGATAACATCATTGACCTGTTTGAGGATGCAGTGGTGCCTGAAATTAAATTTATTCCCTTTTTCTTGCAAATTATTTGCGCCTTTTGCCGTATTGCCTGCCCTTTTCTCCCGGCATCTATTTTACCTCCCAAAATCCAACAAACAATCCTGGTGACCCTTCCTCCCCATCCCAGCCTGATCAGAGCCCTGCTGCAGACCCCTCCCAGCAGTGGGACACGGATGAAGAAGCTGCTGCTCAGCCTTACAGCCAGCAGCCGTATGAGGCTCAGGCTCCTCAATGGGAGGATGAGGTCACTCCTGCCGTTCAGCCGGTTGAAGCTCCCCGCTGGGATGAGCAGGAGAGCGTGTCTGCACAGTCAGGCTGGGGCAATGAAACAGCTACGCCTGCGCAGCCGGACTGGGAGGGCGATGGTGTGGAGCACTGGGGCGAGGAAGGGTCCCAGGTAGGGCAAAAGCAAGACGCAGATACAAACTGGGGCCGTGGTACGGCTCAGGCTTGGGAGGCGGAGTCAGAGCTGCCTCAGTGGGAGGAGCTTCAAAGTGTAAGAGGAACAAGATTAATCGTGGTTGTATTGTGGAGTAATGTCATAGAGTTAGGATGGTTCAGAAGTAGATCATGTTGTTCTGTGGGTGTGGATGCTTTCTATAGTGGTCATGTTAAATGATTTTTGTGTACATTTCTATGTATAGCAGGTTTGTTTTATCCTGTTGAGTTGCTCAGGTGTAATGAACTGTTTCTCTTTATTCTTTGTATTTAGAATGAAGCGCCAACAGTGACAAACGGCTCATCAGATGCAGAGCTTCCTCCATCTGTTCTCTATAAGGTAAGTTGCACTGGGAACCCAAGATCTCAGCGTTTTAACATGGTAGAATTTACTATATTATACAATATTATCTACAACATTATAAAACATCTTCAAAAATAAGGACTTCTCAAGCACACAAAAAAGCTCTATTCTACATACTGTGGTCACTTGTAGAATTGGAGTAAGAATAAATGATAAGAGGCATTAGATAATATTTGCAGCAGCATGCTTTATCCTAAACTTCATAAAGTAATATGGGCCACATACACCCTTGCAGCCAAACTAGCTCGTCAGTTCACCTTTTAGTGCTTAATCCTGATCTGTACACGCACAGTTTAGTAATTTATGGAAGTGACAACTGCATTTACAAAACTTTTTTGCAACGTGTTTGCAACAAAATTTCTTCTTTGTGCAAGGTGCAAGCACATCACAGGGAAAGAGATACGACGCCAAGTCTTGCTAGAATACAACAGCAAACAAACAAAAACTAAACCTAAATAAATGTATATGATTTATATTGGAATAAGACTAAAATATTGCAACCTGCAGCTGCCTACTTTAACAACTCCATAAATTGGATCGCTTTATGAGCGAAACGATGAGCCCAAATATGCTTATAATAAGGGGACATGGCAACACTGCAAGACTTTTGACACTGACCATTCAACACTGCACATATATGTGACCCTGGAGCACAAAACCAGTCTTAAGTCGCTGGGGTATATTTGTAGCAATAGCCAAAAATACATTGTATGGGTCAAAATTATAGATTTTTCTTTTATGCCAAAAATCATTAGGATATTAAGTAAAGATCATGTTCCATGACGATATTTTGTACATTTCCTACCGTAAATATATCAAAACTTAGTTTTTGATTACTAATATGCATTGCTAAGGACTTCTTTTGGACAACTTTAAAGGCGATTTTCTCAGTATTTTGATTTTTTTTACACCCTCAGATTCCAGATTTTGTATTTTGCCAAATATTGTTATATCCTAACAAACCATACATCAATGGAAAGCTTATTTATTCAGCTTTCAGATGATGTATAAATCTCAATTTCAAAAAATTGACCCTTATGACCGGTTTTGTGGTCCAGGGTCACATATTTGAAACTAAAAACACAACACCTCTGTTGGCAGTGATATGGTTAAAATTGCTGAACATAACCAGTATTTGGTCACTGTAATATTACTCCAGTCAAAAAAAAAAAAAACGGGCAAGATGCCAGAATGTTGCTATGATTACCATGTCAATCATCACAATTTCAGGACCGAGTTCTGCTCCACACACACAGAATGCTTTGTGGATCACAAGTAAGGATCATTTAGGGGATTCACACTTGTATTTAAATGCGGTTGTCACTCCTGAAACTTTACAGTGTGAACGTGGCCATGACACCAGAATTAAAAAATCGCTAATAGGGATGAAGACTGGGGCCGATTTGATTGGTGTTTGTCACTGGGCTAATTTGGGAAGTTTCTTTAGTACACAAAGCATCAGATTTTTTGCCCTGAATATGACATGCATGAAATCTTTTACTCTTTTGCTTAAAGTCAACATGAAATACTAAATTCTTAACATGCTTACTGTTCACAATTCTTCAGTGCTTGTTCCACATACAGTAAAATAAAAAAATGTGTAAAATCGGTTAGAGACTGTATAAATAGAAACAAATAGCATCTTGTTTACAAGTGCAGCGAATGATAGATGCTCTTCACATGAAGTGTAAATAGAAGTAATAAGATCAAATATCTTGTGGGCAGAGTTAGTAAAAGTTGCCTATGTCAAAAAGGTTGTCTACCTACATAGCCGGCTCAAACCAATCAAGTCCTGAAGTCCCACTGTACAGTACATCCTGTTTTATTCAGAAATACAGCATATTTAGGGAATAAAGTGGGAAGTGCAAACTCCATTTCATGTTGACTTTAAAGTCAGGAAATGTTGCTAGTTTTATTATGTCTAGATTCTCCTGTACAACCCCTTATTGCAATTATATTTGAACATGTTCTCTAGATGGGGTTTCTAGCATTGCATGTGAGGGGCTCATCTCAGTACTCTTATGATCAAAAACTTTATATTTATGTTTTTCTTTGTACTGTTATTGAGATCTTCAGGTATATGCCACCAAAGATTATGAAAAGTATGCGAGGGGACAAACCACTGTGTTGTACTGTATCATGAACAACAGTTTGCTTGAAACACTTTTTGCAATGTATTTTAAAATCGAAGAGGTTTAATCATTTGTCATGTTGCATGAATGTTTTATAGTTCAGTTTAGACAGGTGCACAAAGGATTTATTCTTTAAAGAACTGGAGAGGATCAGACAAATCTCTTAATAAAATAGAAAATCATGTCAAAAATACAGATTTTAATTTTCATATTGATCTGGGAAAATGTAGTCTGTGATGCACTAATACTGTGACGACAGGCAACATTAAGGTGGAAACACTGAATGAATTGAGCAGGTTGAGCAGCTGAGATTGTACAGTATTTCTCCACCACTGTGATCCAGGCCGAATCTGTTATTTAAAATCTGGATATATGCCTGGTTATAATACCGCTGCCATGCTCAATAGAAATATGCACACATCTCTTTTTAATATTTTTCAAATTCAGTTTTCTAAAATGTTAATTACATCAGGTAAGAAATGCCACTGCATTGTTAAATGACTTATATTCAGTATTTCAGCACATTTAGCACCTGGATAAAGTGGATTGGTTGAAATGCAAAAGTGCTGCAACTAAATCGGCCCTCTGTTTTAATGCCTAATCTGATATCAAATATACAGGGATTCGGCTTTTGCCAAAACAGCGTAGAATCTCCCAAGTAGGGTAAACTAGCTGCTAATTTGTGAACTGTTACTCTAATGTATTATCGACTCTGACATGGTCAGTGCTGTGTAAATCTAGAGTTTATATAATATCTCTCTCTCTGACCTGTTTACATATCAAAGCTCAGCTGTAATTTTCTTACCTGGTAAGCTCTTCGAATCAGTTTTGAATATTAAAATATTTATCAGGCATTTGAACAAACAGACAGCTGCAAGAGGTCTAGTCTTTTCACGGTTCCTTCTAACAAAAAAACGTGTGAATGTGACTCCAAATGTTCTGATATTTAAAACTAGCCTGTGAAAAATCTGAGCTGTATCTCATTAACTATATATACATTTAATCAGAAAGGGAAAATGTTCTGTCTTAACATGCAGTTCTCTGTAAGAAGTACCCTGTCAAGAAGCATATTAAAATTAAAATCATACTGAACTTATATATATATATAGCGTCCTCTCGTTCATTTCATAAGCACACTTTTGTAATGGCATCCATTTAAAGGGCCTTAAAGCTAAGCCTCACTTGTTTCTTAATACTTCTAATGTGACATTACCATCCAAAACAACACTTAACTGACAGCACTTTGATAACTTATTCCTTGCCCAACAGAAATGTAAGCCTGTGAGTTTCAGAATATACTGTATAACACAGGTTATAACAGCTACTAACAATTTAAACAAAGCTCCAGCTTCCCCAATCTGACTTGATTATATGTTTCATGTGCATTTATTGTCATGGAAACAGTCTGGGAACAGATGAGAAATGTTTGTTCCTGGGCTCCATGGCCACCCAGCCGGTTAACAATAGTTTACAGAATTAATTAGTGTTCAGATATGACATAATAAGCGCTTCAGTTGAGTGCCAGGGTCAGTTTGCACTCTGCTTATGTAGAGACAGAAACAAAGAGAAAAGTAGATTTGGCTGTTACTTCATAAACACACAAACTGCTAAAACACATGAAGACAAAAAAAACCCTACACATTTTAGAGAATGATAACCATAAGTCTGATTAATATAATAATACTAACCTCTCCTCAACAAGATGCATGACATTCATGCCATATTTAAAAAATACAAATATAACCACAATGCTTTAAAAATGTCTGTAATTTTAAGAAAATATAGTCCACATTACAACTATAAGAGCGATTTTTCCAGTTAAGGGACAACATTGAAAGCCAATCAAGACAGACTTTTAAGCGTTTAGATTAGACACAACATTATTGTCTGTTGGTATGAATGCTCATATAGTTATCATTACAGTTTTCATTTTTGGTGTGAACAGGCCATAACAGAACACACATACTGGTAAAAAATGTATAGCCTGAATGCACTGTAAGTCGCTTTGGATGAAAGCGTCTGCTAAATGCATAAATTATTAAATTATTAAATAAAATAAATTATAACAGGCCTTTAAAGAGTTCGATCAAATCCCTAACCTTAAGTATGAGCAATAGTGATTGTGCCACAGTGTGTCAAAGGTTCAACGTTGTTGGAACAAAGATTAAGTTCACATTCCTAAGTTTTTAGATTGTTCTTCCATTGGTGATACAAACCCCACCAAAGATGTGATCCACCAGTGCAGGGTTGAATATTAATGGCTGTGGGTGAATGGACGAATGTTGACCTGTTAGAGTGTGCCTTTTTCAGGAAACAAGAAGCACTGGGATGTGACTAGGCCTGTTTGTTCAGTGCACTGCGGTCATCTATGATTGACATTCACATAATTGTACTTATCCCTTTACGTTGCCAACAACAAACCATGTTACCATGGCACCAGCTTGCTCTTTATATAGTGATGATATCGTCACAGAGAACATACACAACACTTCTCAACTGAACTCTTAACATCGTCGGCCAGAGGAAAGTTCTACAATGGTAGGATGTTTTAAATTATTCATTTGTCCAATGCATTATTTATAATACTTAACAATTACTTGACTTTTAACGAACAGTCTTAGTCTTCATGAATATGTTTGTCGATAATTAGTTTGTTTTATTTTATAGATTTTGATTGTCTTGATAATGGTTGTCAGTTTTAGTGTTTATGAAAATGAAAAGAGAAAGCTACTTTTTCCCAAGAGAAATTTAAATTGACTGCTACCATTTTAAACATGTCTCTCATTGCACCCTAGCGTGAGTGCATCTCAGTCCATGTCGGCCAGGCAGGTGTGCAGATGGGCAATGCATGCTGGGAGTTGTATTGCCTGGAGCATGGGATCCAGCCAGATGGTCAGATGCCAAGTGATAAAACGATTGGTGGGGGCGACGACTCCTTTAACACCT